TAAGATATATATTAAATACAGGTAAATTAATACATATTCAAGTGCATGGTATTCTCTTTGAAATCTCTGCAGAATGATTATAAAATACAGTTTTACTTATGATCATCACCCTCAGTTTTATATTTCTAATTTAACATGTTTTGTGTCAGAGTTGTGGGTCAGGCCCCAGTTGTTCGAAGCATGGATAACACTATCGACTGGATAAATCTCCATCTGCTGGATAGCGCAGTACGTTTTGGCAACACTTATCTGCTGGATAGCGATTTATCCATTGGATAGCGTTATGTACTCCTTGAACAACAGGGCCCAGGTGTAACCTTAACCCTTTGACCCTTAAGAGTGACTGGAATCTAGTTTTTCCTTACAGTATCACCCCTGAATCACTCATAAAGGGATCAGGAGAATAAAGGAAATGATCACCTTCTGAAAAACCTATTGATTTATAATCAAATTCTCCTTGTCAGTAGCTCAGAAAATATCTAGAGAACAGTATGGAGTATATGCATACATACCTGAATTTCTTTGGTGATTGGTTTGACCTTACTAGATACATTGTCAACATCATAATAAGTTACACTCAGGCCCTGGTTACACACTTTACCAGCCTGACTGAATGTATCCTCGCATGTAAGTTTTCCAACTTTGTCAGTTATTATATGAAAAGTCAAATTTATGCTGGAGTGTTCACAGATGGACAACACACACCGTTTGAACCGTTTAGCTAAGGAGCTTGCCTGGGAAACTTTAGCAAGAATCATCAAAATGTTGTTCTCGTTTTGTTGAGAAACAATGGGAGTTGCTACTTTCTTTTCACTCTTTTTCTTCCCACCATTTTTGTTTCCATTGAAATTGTCACTATGGTTTTCCTTGGAAACGTTTTCAGGCTCTTTTTGGTCAGGAACAAGAGACTTCTCCTCCAACAATGTTGTCTTCTTGATGAGTTCTTCATCGTGATAACTCACTTCGCTCTCGAACGGTGAGTGTTGAGCTTTATTGTCATGTTGCAGATCTTTCTTCAGTCCTTTATTTTGCAATTTCCTGTGATCTAAGTCATTTTCAGCTTTCTCGATTTCTTCCTCTTTCAATCTTATTTTATTTTCTGCCTCAGATATCACTTTGCTGTCGTCTTCACCGCCTCCTTTGATCTTTTTCGTTAAATTATCTTCTTTCTTTTTGAGTTTACTTCGATTAAAATCCACCATAGAGGGTGTATTTCTGTTATCGTTCATCGAAGGTAAACTTTGCTGCAGTTTTTTCGCGTTTTCACGCTGTACTTGATTCTGCTTCCAACCAATATTCTTAGGAACATGTTGGACTAAACTTCCTGCGACAAGATTAAGTTCCTGCGCATTTTGCTGCTCTGGAACTGAAGAGTAGAGAAATCTGCTAGCGATAACTAGAAGCAAAAGGAGTCCTATCACCAAAATTCGAGTAGGATGCCTCATACAATATCGAAATAAACTTGCTCCTACCGCCATGTTGTTTTCACCACATAATTATTTTTACCTCTTCAGGGGTAGGCACTGTTATGATGTCAAACCCAAAAGATGATGAATAAGAATCATTACAGAAACAGAACTGTCTGAATTTAAATATAGAAACGAAGTTTTAAGCTTCGACTTACCTTACAGGATTCAATAAGCTCGCAATAGCAAATCAAAATTAAAATGATATATATTTCCAAATGAGTAATTTTGCGTTTTCGTCATTTTACTCTACCTCTCCCCACTTAGAAGTATTTGCAACAGAGCAGTCGCACGAGGGTGGTCAGCGGATGAGAAGCAGAATCAAAATGGCGGCCAAGATTGCTGCCTCGTGCGGGCAGTTTCGGGCTGTTAAATTCCCTTTTCGGTGGCTAGTTTTACGAACATTCTGCAGTGGGGAAGCGTTTGAAAATAAGGGGAACACCACATCATTTTTTAATCCTGAAATTCAGTCATTATTAAAGAAACTCACAGGTCGTAATTTGGACAAAATATACGCCGTCCGAAAAGGAGAACTCGAGGTTCCATCGTACAAACTAATGACAGATGCAGAGTACTTAGAGGTAACTTTATTTTCTTTGGTATTTTTAATCTATTTCCGAGTGGTTAAATATAGCAGATCAGATATTTATACAAGCAGACACGCGTTTACAGGAATATTGAGGGTTCAGTAGTGTTGTTGTTTGTATTATTGTTGTTGTTTGTATTAGGTACAACGCAAAAATGAAGAGGAAGCTGAGGCTATGCTGGAAATGCCGCCAGTGATGGATGAGAGAGAAGAGATCGATGAAATTATTGAAGAAAATGAAGAGCTGGCGCAATTTTCAGAGTCAAATTATGTTTTTACAGATATCAGCACAAGTGAATCTGATAGGGTAACTCAAGGTCTTCTTTCTTGTAAAACATGTTTTTCTATTTTTCATTTTTATTACTTTTTACACCCTTATCATTTCTTTAGTACAATTTGTTGCCATAGAAAGATGAAAGAATTAGAGAGATACACAGTCCAGTCATCACCTGACAAGTAACATTTCTTCCAGAAAGTTATAAAAAATTCTGCTTGGAATGAAAAAAATGGACCATTTACCTAGAAAATTTGATGTGGGAGGCTTTACCAAAGCTATTTCCATGAAATGTTCCATTTGCCATTACCTTTGCTCTTAAAGAGGCTTGGTCACTTGAGAAAATTTTTTTCTTCAAAGTCAATTTTCCCACTTTTTTGGTGAAAATATACCACTATAACTCTGTGTAAGACCTTTTTTTCCATTCCAAACAGAATTCTTTTTATAATTTTCCAGAAGAAATTTTAATTGTCAGGTGGTGACTGTGTATCTAAATGTTTTCCCCCTCTTCTTAAAAATGAGTTGATTGAGTGACTGGAAAAGAATCGCTTTACCCTCTTTCCCCTTTAACTCTGAAAAGTGATTAACATGTAATTTCTCCCTATAATATTCACACATTATCCAGCCAACAGGTAATGAGAATATGGTACTCCAGGGCTCAAGATTAACTTTTTCCTTTAGGAGCCAGCTGGCGACTAACGGAAAAATTTTGGTCGCCAGATCGTAAATTTTGGTCACTAACTTATTTTATTTATAACTTACACAAAAACTAGCTATCATGCCCGATTGTTTTCCTAGTATAAAGATTTAATAGCATGATAGTGTCGTGGTTTTCTTTAGTTATCAGACAAAGTGCGAGTCGCCAGCTGGCGACCAGTTCTGAACAGTTAGTTGCCAGAGCTCAATTTTTGGTTGCATTTTTGAGCCCTGTACTCAAACTTATCAGGTAGAAGTTGTTATCTTTGTCCAACACCAAATTCTTCTATTTAATATACAAGGAATTGTGTTGTAGTAATGGCGAGAGTTAACGATCAGATCTTAGAAATAAAAGGGTTAATTTTCCAATTCATCTTCTGTTAGTAGAACAAAAACAACAAACAGAACCCTCCGATGTGATTTTTAGTTTTTACTCATTTTTTGATTTCACAGACCAGGTCAATAACAGTGAGGGAACCAAGGGGAAGATTACGAAAAGCAGTATGGGATGAAAGAGATAGATTGAATTTTATATATTTTCCTAAGCCTGGACGACAGTATGAAATACCTGAACTCCTCACAGATGAAGGAATGCAGGTAATGTGAAGTGTTCTGTTGTTTTACTTTTTATACTATTTTTCAGTTAACATGTGTGATTGATCAATTAAGTGGGATGTATTTCACTGTTTAGCACGCTAAACAGCCCACTTCACTAAAAAGAAATTGTTTGAGTTGAGATCTTACCCCTGTATTTAAACCCAGAAATGTAATAACCATCTTACTACCTTTGTAGTCTGTTTTTTGCACTACTACAGTAACTGTAAGTTGTGGAACCTTGTTTTTTTTTCAGCGTGGATCGATGGCATATATGCAAAGCACATGGGAACATTAATCTGAGGGGGAAAAACTTGGTCCTTCACATATGTTATGATCCATCAAATATTTTTGCTTGCTGGCAATTGGTTTAAACACATCACCTGATAAAATATTCCCCAGCCAAAACTGGATGGTATCTGAGACTATCAATTTTCAAACCATGCTGCACACAGTAAGCTGTTAATAAAAATGTTTTCACTCACTGCAAAATATTTGAAGGATGATAAACACAATGGCCTCTATTCTGCATGAAAATATGCTTGTATATTTGCCCTTGGACATTCTCAAAGCTCACATGTGTTCCTCAAGCTTCACACTCAGAAACCTTTTGGCATCTTGAAACTGATAATGTCGGTAGAAAAATATCCCTGCATATATCCCTGCATATTTCCCTGCCAAGTATTGTGCTTATTATGCTTCAAATATTTTGCAACATGTGAAATATTTTTATTTGTAGTAGCACTGACATTGAACTTAGTTAGCGAGAGGTATTAGGTACTGTTCCTAGTTTTCAGATATTTTTCATGGTTTTACAAGCATTCAGTAACTTCTTACTTATTCATTCAGAGTTGAATGATTGCTGAGAAGTGCATTTACAATTAATTTCAGGAGCTCTGTTTTGCTTCTGCTTTCTTTTGGAATCTTAGTGGAAATTTTACATGATAATCCCATTTCTGTTTAATCTCGTTTTGCTGTGAGCTCTGTGCAAGTAATCAACCTGTTCAATTGTGTGGTAGGCAAATTATTCTAAAGATCTAATGAAAAATTCTCTTTAAATTCTAAGAAGTCTTTGAACTCTTTCAGACTGTGTTTCAGCAAAACAGACATGAAGATGTTCTTGATCTGGCTTGTGTTCAATTTGAACCTGACTCAGCAGATTACATTAGAGTAAGTAGTGGTTTGAAGCCAATAGTAATTTTTATCCTGTTAATAAATAACTTCACTGTCCTCTCTAATTATTTGCTCCAAAAGATATACTCAGTATTGTAAATATCACTACTTTTAAAAAGAAGCTCAAGCCTATCTTGATACAGAAATTTATTGATGAATGATAAAATTGAAAGTTGAAGTTGCAAGTTGATTGATAGCCTGCGTACATCTGGTTATAGACGGAGTTTAGAATAAACGGCGGCTGAACTCAGGCTGGTTGATTAAAAGATATCATTTTTTATATGTCTATTTGTGAATTTTTCAGTTTTTGTAAATTGGCACTGAACTTTTTGAACTTTTGTTTTCTTTTTTTTATGCAGATTCATCACAGGACATATGAAGACCTTCTTAAGAGTAAAAAGTATGATATTTTAAGATCAACAAGACATTATGGTGGACTTCTTTATTATTTGGCAACACAACAGAAAATTAATCAATTGCTGAATGATATGATGGACATGGAACAGTAAGTTTAGGATATCTTTACTAATTGCTAGCCAAACAAAAAGAAAAAGTTTTATCTCCTTAAGTTTTGTTATATTTTGCATGTTGAGTATTACGCTATTGTTATTTGAATCTCGGATAGTGGTAAAAGTTGCTCTCAGTATGCATCAAGTTGAACTGGACATTCAAAAATTTCCCTCTATTAATTTTATTTTCTGCACCTATCAATTCGAAGCATGGACATCCTCCCTGGGCAATCCCCCAGGCATTTGAACTTTTTAAAGATCGGTTTGTTTCAATACCCTCTCACCGGGCGCTTAAAAGTTATCGGTGTATTTTAAGCATACAGAGGGTTAGTCCATGGTGGTTTTCAGTGTGCTTTGAAATAAATGTTTTTTAAAATAAGTTTCTCTCTTTATCCCCCAAGATCTGAGTCACTTATAATATGCCCTTGCAGCTTTTTCACTGGTAACTCATAATAATAAGAGGATTTGCAAAATCAAGAAGGTGCTCACCAAATAATAAGTTTGCTTTTTCTGATCACCTCATTGCTTGATAATTTATCATAATTGTAACTCCCATGAGTGACCAAGACAGAATTTCTCCTAACAATATTGATATAATATCATGTAGAGAGTTGATGAGAAAAAAGAAAAATATTAATTAGGGGATTATCAATTGATCTTATATCAAATTCTCTAAACTATCATCATGAAAATTGTATGGCAGACAGTAAGGAGAATTGCTGATGAGATCTTGACAGTGAAAAGGTTAAAGATAAATAACATGTTAATCAAGTATGATATTTTGACAGGTGGGATGATTGTGTTGATTTGGCAAAACTTTACATCCTTTGTCACCCAAAAGATGAGATAGCAACACGAAGTGAGAAAAACAATTTAATAGGCTTCTCTTTGCTTCGGGTAAGTGTTGCATGTGTTGTGTGAATATCCAGGCAGTGTGAATGTTTTCCTTTGACACTAGCAAAGCAAAGAGAGAAAGGTGTGGAAGAGCAGGGTTTTTGACAGGTTACCATTCATTTTATACCAAATAATTTGAATATATTAACAAAGTTGAAATGGTAAATTGGCCTCCGTTATGATTATAAAAGCTGACATTTCGAGCATTAGCCCTTCGTTGGAGCGAATAAGGGAATTGTGGGTTGTGTGTGCTTTTAAAGGCAGAAAAAGGAGCTACGTGATTGGTGGGAACATGGCAACAACAAAAAAATAATTTATTAGTGTTTTTCTTGTTGTTATGTTCCCACCAATCACGTAGCTCCTTTTTCTGCCTTTAAAAGCACACACAACCCACAATTCCCCTATTCGCTCCGACGAAGAGCTAATGCTCGAAAGGTCAGCTTTTATAATTGTAACGGTGGCCAATTTACCATTTCAACTTTATTGATATATTCAAATTATTTCGTTACCCCCACTGACGCAGCCCCAGACAGTTTCTTTAGAAACCTTCAGCCTTCATTCATTTTATACCAAAGTTGTTTTGTACCCAGTTGATTCATACCCAGTCAGTGGAGTCATTTGTATCCATACCAATAAAGTATGTTTTGCATGTTAACTTTGTTTAAACTAAGGTTGCTGTTGTTTGATGAAAAAAACTATATTTGCACATCAGATTGCAAGTTGTCGGGCTGTTCTCCATACATTTTCTATTGTGCTGACAGGAAGAATCTGTTTAGCAATCAGAACTTTCTTTAGTTGGTGATCATATCCTTTACTCTTGTGACCTTATTGTTTGAATCAGGGGTGATATTGTAAGAATAATTGGGTGCCAGTCGTTATTGAAAGTCAAAGGGTTAAATCATTCCCAAAATTTTTTGTGGCAGCTTTACTGCTATTAATTTTGAAGAGAAAAGAGGAACTGCAAAGTTCTATTGTTCTAATCTTGTTTGTCTCCTTTGTTGTTCCTGATTTTCAGGCTTTCCTTAGAGAATGTGCAACCCAAGAGATGTTGAAGAAGTTAGAAGACCACATGGAACATCTTACTGAAGAGCAAAATATGGGGACATCATCAAACTCTGTAAATTAAAGGCAACACTTTCCAAAACAAAAAAAATACCTTGTCTTTTTTGGTGCGTTTGGGATCATTGTACTTGTCTTTTTTGGTGCGTTTGGGATCATTGTACTTGTTTATTTAGATGGCAAGCTGAACCCAAATATAATTTCTAGGCTTGGAGTCTCATGTGAGTGAAGTTTACTGTTTGTTTGTGCATTCACTCCAAGGTCAATAGTTAATCAAAAGGAAAATGTCAAAGTGACATTGCTCTACTTAGCCCTTCAAACCCATCTTGTGATTTGGGTGGGGTTGTTCAAACGTGGGTTAAGATAACCCGGGGTTAGTGTGAAATTTGATTTAGATCTAAACGCTTTAAAAGACAATTCAGTTTAATTCCATTTATCTACAAGTTGATGATTGAATGCTCTAAAAAGAACTGGGGCAATTATCCCAAACCAGCTTTTGAAGAGAGAAATAAAGAAACCTGGATTAAAATTTAACCATCGGTTTGTGCTCATTGAGCTTCGAACAACTGGGCCGTAACTCTTTCACTCCTAAGATCTCTTTATAGTAATTCTACACGCTTTCCTATGTCAGTTCAGAGAATTAAGTATTGGATAAAATAATCCCCCAAATGATATTTTTTACTATATTCTCGTCGCACTTGTCTGTTTGACATTGCATTTAATTTGTAAAGAGAAATTCTCTTTCGATCACTAATGGGAGTCAAGGGGTTAATGTTTGATTGAGGGATATGGTAAGGAGAATAAAGCAAGTGATCACCAATTAAATAAGCACTTAATTGTTTAGGAATTCTCCTTGTCAGCACCTTAGGGGCTGACCATTTAACTCTTGAGGGGGGGTGGGTGATTTTGAAAAAAAATTTCCTGCGAGTGCTTGTTGCAAGAAAAAAATTGTATGCAGTCCAAATGTAACAGAAGCAGTTAGAATGGAAAAAATTATCCCGCACAGCAGATTGTTAGAAAAAAATTTCTTGATGACCAGAAATTACCCACACCCCCCCCTCAAACATTAAACGATCGGCCCATACAGAATGTCTAGAAAACAGTATGGAGAATATGCATACTGATGTAAGGGAGTGAATGGTTGTTTCCCACCTCTACCCCTCCCTCCCTCTCCAATCTTGAGACAGTGCTCAGTAGACAAAACTGCTCAATAGCCCATTTCCAAATTACCCTTGGCCTCATTTTCAAAACGAGTCCTGGTGCTCATCCTATGATGTGATCATAAGTTTTCATTCACATGCAAATTAAACTCATTTTCACAAGAATGGTTAAGCACCAGGCCTCATTTTGAAAATGAGGCCAAGGGTAATTCAGAAACGGCCTATTGACACACTCTGTACAGCAAACCGAAGAGACTCAACTGACCTTAAATTATCATTTAATAAGAATAAGGAAATATGATAAACTGACAAGTAACGTATGACATATCTCCTCTCTTCCAAAAAAGCTTTAGTCATCATTTACTAATAGTATCAACAATAATCACAAAGCTCATTTAAGAGACTGTGTCATAACAAGAAAAAAAATTCAGTTGAGTGAAATAAAGTCTTAGGGCTGGTTATTTACACAAAGTCTAACCCAAACCACAGTTTCATGCAATCAGTGGGCTTCAGGGATTCTCTATAAAAGGGTTGATTTAATTATTTAAATGTCCTTCCACTGTTTGCTTTCAGTCCTCTTGACACATATCACAAAAATAAACATTCAGATGCAAGGTTCAGTCAAATTGAAGATGGCTCGAAATGCCACTTTATCAATAACAGCTAAACTTTGTTCAAATAACTAGCCCTTAGTTACTTATTTTGAACATGGTGGTACACTCAACCAGTGATTTCCATGAAGAAAATTGGGCCATTATTCAAATCGTTCAACACATTGGCAATGGTGGGCATGATAACCATTCTTTTATGTGCATGCAAATTAGCCCTCAAAACTTTGCTTTTGCATGGAAATGCTATTGTTTGTTTGATAAGCAGTAAAGGCCAGAATGACCAATTTCCATGAATATAAAAGACTGGGGTCTCCTCTATGAAAAAGGTCTACGATTCCCCTTGAAAAATTTTGATAAACAGAGTTAGGATGAGCAGAAAATTTGCCAGTTACTAGATAACTCAGTTATGTATATCTTAGGTTCAGCTATACTTGAATACTTTCCTGAAACAACATCAAACCTGAATTTTGTTCATAATTAGTAACTTGCAGTAAAAAATTGCCCTCATTTGACGAACTGCCTAACAAATTGCATTGAATGAACAACTGCAAGATTATTTCATCTCCTGTTACACAAGAGGAATAAATAAATCAGGTAGGATAGTGCTTCCAGATAAATTAACCAACTCTACTCTAAAAACTGATTTCGAGAATTAAGTGCTCAAGTAAATGATATGTACACATCATTTTAAAATTAAATAATTGCATTAAATATTAATGCAAAGTGTATTCATTAAGGTCACTAAAAAGTCAAGTTGGAACTCCTTAAGATGAATAGCTGGTATAGTTAGACCCCTACTTGTAATTCCAAAACATATCTAGCCTCCTTGTTGAGAGTTTTGGTTTTAGCAACCAACCAGACCCAAAATATATTTTAGTCTTCAATAAAGATCTTTAATTCTTTCTTTTGGGACTCTATAGCCTTGTGACGTTACCTCTAACCTCACACAGCCGAGCAGTTGCAATAAACACGTGAAGGGTCAAGTACACTTTAGTAACCTGTGTTTCTGCTCAGAGTTGTGAATGTTCTGCATTTGAGCTACAATAGTCCATTTAATGGTTGTGCTTGGTTGCCAACCCTTTGAATGGGAGTAAGGCAAAGGATGACCTTGCTGTGATACAAATGTTCCTGCTTTTTGAATAGAAATCACTTGATCACCCTAAAAAGATACTGGTCTCCATGACAACAAGGTCACCTTCTGCCTCACTCCAAATCAAAGACTTGGTATAAGTACACAACTGTAAAATGACCCATCACTTATTACTTATATAACCATTTGTCTTTAATTTGCCCTTCATTTCAAGAAATATGTTATGCTGAAATGTCCTCTTTCCTAGGAGCATTCTTTGCAGTGTTTTTCCTGTTTCAAAGACAACTTAGTTTCTTGACCCTTTCACTCCCATCATCCCAATGAAAATTCTCCTTATGGTCTGCTATTCATTTCTTATAAAACTTGTTGTGAGAATTTGGTGTTATATTAATTGATAATCTGTTAGTGAATATTTTTTTGCTATTCTCCTCACTTGTCTGCTTGATTTTGTATTGATACAGTAAGGAGAAATTATGTCTTGGTCTTTTCTGTGAATGAAAGAGTGACTAATGAAACTACTGATTTAAAAGCAATGAATGTTTTCTAGAAAAGAGGATCCTCTTTGTAATGGTTAGTCCTTCCAAGTATTAGGCAGTCTATGTTTATTAGGATAAAGGCTGATAGTTTCGAAAGAAAC